AGAGGGTGTCCTTCCACTGAGAGATGAAGAAGCGCTTTGAGCTGATAATGGTGCTACTAAAAGTTCTTACTAATCTTGTTTGATTTTGGTTGGTCGCTCCCAGAATAGAAATATGACAAACTCCATTAACTGACATTAGCTGTTCCGTTTTAATGAGGCTGTGTGGAGGCTTCAGCAAACTGTGTGAAGGTCTATTTCTTATCCAAGGATTTTGGTGGCTCTTGATCTAACTATGGAATATTTTTTTCTGGGACACAAAATTTATTATTGTTGTTGTTTCAACTTATATTCCGCCCCATAGTGCTAGAGCCCCTCTCTGGGCAGTTTACAACCTAATTATGAAACGAACTCATTTTACTGACTTTGGAAGGGTGGGAGGCTGAGTCAAGATTGAACTCAGGCCATAAGGAGAGGCTTAATTGCAGTACTGCAGTTTAAACACTGCACCCCGGGGTTAAATATTTTTAAAGATGCAATTATTGTTCTTTTAAGTGGTTGAAGAAAAACAGACTCAGGTGGTGGAGGAGGTGCTGAACGGTTGGGAGTTATCTGCTCTACCTCTACCCTCTATATACTGGTGCGTGAGGTGACTACCTCATTCTGGTTACCAGCGCTGCTCACAAATTGACTTTAGTGCCCAAGACAGTGTTTGGAACTCAGGGCAGGGCAATCCAAGGGGAAGGCCTAGACTGCTGCAGGAAACTGCACGCTAGGTCATTGGTCCTCAACCTCAGGGCTCCAGATGTTCTTGGACTACAACTCCCAGAAGCCTTCACCACCACCTCTGCTGGCCAGGATTTCTGGGAATTGAAGTCCAAGAACATCTGGAGGCCCAAGTTTGGGGACCACTGCGCTAGATCATACATTTCCATCCTTGTTATTGAGAAACCCTTGAGCCTAGAAATTCAGGGAGCGAGCATTCAACACTGCCTTTGGAATTCTCTCTACTTGCAAACGTGTATGGCCTTTTGAATCCTTGTGCTTACTCTTTTGATTTGCATAAGTTTGCCACCTCCTGGTGCAAACACCTGCAGTTTATTTGAATGTTCTATAAAAAAAAGTGGCTTTAACATCACAGAGATGTCACTGTTAATGCTGATGTGCCCTGCTTTGTACAATTTATTCTTCTCAATATGCAAGTCAGGGGGTGTGTTTGCTTTGTCCCCTGCCATTCTTGTACTAAAGGCTGCATTTCCTGCTGAACTGGCCGTATTAGCGAAATAAACTTTTGTGTTCAGTTACGGTGTATACCGTAACTGCCAGGTGTTGGGTGAACACAGGTATGGTTCTTGCACCCTTGCATGTGGCGATCTGAAATTGAGGGCCACTGTTTGGTACACTACAGGGACGTGTTGGTTCGCTCTTTTTTCCAGCGATTAGTTGACCTGGTTAGAGATGGGCATGAACAGGTGTTTGGTGCTTCAAAGCCCCACCTCCCCTGATAGGTGCCCGCTCAGATTCAGCACCTGGAGGAGGTAGGGGGCAGGGAAGTCTGAGCACTGGCTCTCTCTAAGTGGGCCCCCCATCTCTAGACTGAATCAGTCTGTCCCCAGATCACCCTTCCTTCACCTTTTTGAGCCCCCGTCAGGGACTCGAGATTCTGCTTTTTGTGTGTTGTTTGGTGCACATTAGTTTGGTCTATTTCCAGCATGGGACATTTCTGGGAATGGACCCAAATGGAGCCTTGCAGCTCTCAACGTTGCCAAGGTTTTTTCAGCTTTGAATTTCCAGTGTCATGAAGTGGCTTAATAGATGAGCCACTTCACGATATTGGCAAATTGCACACAACTGCAACGCAGCAACATCTGTAGGGCTACATGCTCCACACCTGCTCAGTGGTTTAGGTCCCTGGCTGCAGAGCCAGAGGTTGGGAGTTTGATTCCCCACTGGGC